TTCCTCATGACTCACCCTGTATATTACTGCCAACCTATACGAGATAAGGGGGTGATCAAAGTTATAATGAGTAATACTCCAAGAAAGGCGATCGACACGGGCTCAAAAGCCATTAAACTTCCAGTTATTGTATTTATAATGAAGTGTATACTCATTATCCCTCAGAATTCCCTGATTCCTCTATTTCTATTCTTTAGACAACTTATAGCGCCAAACGATCACGATATACGAAGAACCTATCCAATAATTCAAGAATATTACTATCTTTGGTTCAATTTATAACATCAACCTAATTTTGACGAAAAACTTAGATAGATATCCATTCAGAGTTGTTAGCTGTGACTGTATGATATGCAGTTTGTAAATGACTTTTCTCACTATATACATCTCACTAGACCTAGGTACTGTACTGTAATTTTAACATACTTCAGAAGCAACATAATATGTTTGTTAAGTAATGTTTTTAATTATCAACAGCGCCTAATGCTTTTAAACGAGTAAACCGTTATGTCAATGGAGATCCCAATAGGCGACTAGACAACAAACCATTCAAACAGCCATGATGCCTAACCTACGAGTACGTAAACAGGGTGATCAAATTTTAGTTACTATAATACTCCAGGAATCGATATAAATCAATTAAACACCATGATCCATTTCTATACACATATCCTCAGAAACAGTACGATATTGAGATAAAGGCAGTTGAAAATTATATTTTCTTGAATAAACATATTGGATGTTTCGATATATTGTTGGTAGGTATTTCGCTCTGTGCTTTTTTGAGGGATTCACGTCACGACATTTCGAGCGACATGCAATATATAAGATCAATACATTTCTCAAATCTATACTATATCTATACATTACCCTCGATATTTAGGTTGGTTCGCAAGATATGATCGATGACATTCGATTTGATATGTGATTTGAATTGCTCATTTGATGCCGTTCGGAATTATTGAAATCTCGCAGGTGTCTATACTTTCAATTGAAGAACTAGAAGAATTCAATAACTTCAAACGATATCAAGTACCTAACATTTTGAATTCAATTTAATTGCCGTTCATCAACTACCACACTAAAAAAATTAATATCGATCATGAACACTGAACTTTGGTAACCATCAGCATTGATTCTGAACAAAATATCCCAGTATCTATATATCGTGATGTTCAGCATTACGTGAATACCGAATATATGATATCGACAGCTATAATAGTTGTGATGAATGATTCGGTAGGGTGCACTGAATATTCAGCTGTATATAGCAACAGAACTTTTTTTGATAGAGCTACTGACTTTCAGTGCATGTTGCATAGTGCTAGAGGTACGCAGAAAAAAACCGTATTCCGTATTGAAAACAAGCCGTTTCGCACACTAGCTTTTCAGATACAAATGAACGATTTGATGTTGAACTGATTGTGGCTTTACGATAACCAGAAAGGCCTCAAAATTCGCCATTATAGGAAATGGCGTCTGATATTGTGAGAAATTGACATACTTGCATAATTCAAGCAGTTGAGAAATGCTTTTACATGTTTCAGGGGTCTCTCATTTCAGAATGAGAATTTCGAAAAATATGATGTCTTGAAGGGTATGCGAATATTCTGAAAATCACGTAATTGAGACAAATTTCTCATTTGAGTGACGTTCTCTACTGAAAATGTCCTATTCGACATAGATTAAGCATGGCTAGTATGACGTACCGTATTGCTATGCACGATGTTCTTCGAACATTAAAGGAATTCCCAAGAGATAGAGAAAAGTGAGTTTCTGAAAGTAGAAAACATGTTCATGTCCAAATTGAAAAGACGAACACTGAAAAGAACTTTTCGATGCTGATAATTCCACTTTTTGATGTTTCAAGACAAAAATTCTTCTATATACATGCGAATCATTTTCACGAAGAATATTTCAGTTACGCTCGACCATTCAAAGCAAACTCCAGGTCAACTTACAACTCGGCATCAACAACGTTTTGTTTCACATCCATACTTGCAGCCACATTTATCCACAGCCCTGCAAGCCAACCAGATCTCCAAAAGCTCACTCCATAACAAAACCTTCTCCACACTTTCCCTTCAGGAAATGGCGAGGGGGACGGTGGCGATCAATTTCCAAGGGCCCTGACTCAGAAGTGTCCACTGATGGGGACAGGAGTTCTATCATATTTCGAACAAAACATCCAGAGAGGAAACAATTCCAATTATATGTTTGTTTTCTGTGTTCTGCAACTTCATGAGCGTTCTTTTTATAAAAATGAACAAGATATATCCTCTCAGAAAAAAGTCCCTTCTGCCGGACTTCCACACTCAGCTGGTCACGTAGGGGCTTGTTAGACAAATCTCTTCTGGATGAGCCATTCTGCGTTTCCTGTAGATGATTTTTCCATGATATTTTCATCTATATGAGAGATCCCACCTCAATGGAGTGGTTGAGTTATATTTTCTGGCTTTTTACAAATCAAGCATGATTTAGCATTCAAGACAACAGCAACATAGCTAGATCAGGTCGCACGTCGATCCTCCTTGGCATCAAAATGGATTATTTGGTTGAGCACTTATTTCGTTTTGCCTGTGCCATATCATTATCTAACTGATGATAATTGGACTCGTTATAGTTGATAGTCGAGACTTGTGCGAAGTTCGGAAGAGGAGGACCTACAAGTTTCAGTAAATTCAATATAACAGTATGGTAGCCCTTGTTTTGTTTAGCCACCACCACTGAACGCCACTGCATTATTCGCAGGACACACAAGTTTTCCATAACCCTGATATATAGATGCTGCTGTTACATTTACCAGCTACTCTGTCGCTACCAATACAATATTAGCAACCAATACCTACTCACCGAAAATTCAAAAACTACTACAGACTCCTACGAATTCAGACTATTATCAGGCTTTGTACTTGACTGCTGCAGACCATTCACAAAAAGACAGACACCTGCGAAAGGACATAGCAGTAGAAAAAAGAGCATGTGAGCCAGGGAGTTAGGTGTTAGGTATTAGATTTTTGCTCGTTTGTGGCACGCTTATTCAAATTAGCAGTATTATTTTTCTATTATAGATTCATGAGTTAACCCAAGTATCTCGCCTATATAAACTCCAGAACCACATAGTTCATCAAAATCAACATTCTGGTAGCCATCATACAAAATGTTTTCGTTGGTAAATTTGAATTCAGAGACCCCTTGAACATGCAAATCCATACCTCACACGGCTAGAATAATGCAAGCATGCCAATGGCAGCATATCGGCGCCAATTCCCAAAATTGCGGTTCTTTGAGACAATTCCGGTTATCCGGGAGCTGAACAAATGTTTCCTCTACATTCATTGGGAAAATCAGAATGAAATCAACATCCGGATAACTTCTGTAGTTTCTTCTATTTTCTTTTTTCAAATTATATACTGTTGAATTAATTGACCCCCCCTACTCCCTAAAAATCAACCCCACACGCCCGAAAAAATTGGTGCTGCGGGTCAAATCGTTCATTCTAGGTATTGAGGTCAAGTGTGCAAAGCGGCTTGCTTTCTATATGAAATGCGTTTTTTTCTGATTTTTCTGGTGTACTGATAGCACTAGCATGCACATTCGATTATTTTTCGTGTGTTTTTTCCAATTATGTTATATGATATGTTCAACGGAATATACAGAAAATAACTGCTCATATATATAGGTAATTACAAGCATATGCCGTTATCGTCATTTAATGAATAAAATTTTCATAAATGAGAACGGCTTCACTGGTGTTAGTAATGAATTGCCATTTTCGAAAGACGAAAATGCAATCTTCACCGTTTCAAAATCTCAGCTTGCAATTTTATACACCGATTCAACTTCATTGATATTATGATATCGAATACAGGTTCCTAAATACATATGATAAACATGTCATCACTGCATATTCAAATAAACATCAGGGTGCGATTCAATGAGAATGGGCAATCTCTGAACTACAGATATAAATAAAAATGTAGCAGATACATGCAGGGTGTTCAATGAAGGTAAAAATGTCATTTTTAATTTTTCCACGTCAACTTTGGTCGAACATTAACTTTCAAATTATGTTTGTTGTTGGCGTTGTTAGTGATTTTCATTATTGATTACTGTCTTTCTCACTTCGCTATAACTTCATTATTCGAAAGAATTCGCACTTAAGAGATTTGTGTTTCACTTATAACAACGGAAAAACCGTCGTAGCTAGACAATTCGAAAGCGAGTAGATTTGCCAAGTAAAATATGCATTTTATACCGAAGTAATTGCGCCCTCTATAAGCAATCACAAAATAAATTACAAATTCGTATTTCTCATGGCAAAAGAACCTGGAACTACAAAATTGTATGTTCATGCTGTTGAAAGGCAAAAGAACCTGGAACAGCAAAATTGTAGGTTCATGTTGTTGAAACTCACAAAAGTATTGAGAAATTTTGAACCAAAATATTTCCTTGGTATCTCCTAAACCAGCAACATTCTTATTACGCTATAAATATTCATATTTTAGTGTATACTATCTGTGGTTCAGACATTGTCCATTCTTAATGAATCACCCTGTATAGGTTATTTCACGAAATACTTGTATCTAGTAACAAAACTTTGTCCACAAATATAATATTTATATATTGTTAATATTCCGTGAATTATTAAATTTGTCACAATTGAGAGTTCGAATTGATAATCCATCTTACACGACTCCAACATTACATTTGATGTGGAGCTGACAAAAATACTCTTCAGTACAACTTCCAACAGCCGATCAAATAGGACACCTTCGACATGTAGCCAAGATCATGAAAAATCCAACGTAAACTAGACAGTTTTTTGTGAATACCAGCAAGATTCGGACGAAGAACGCAGAGTCTCTCTCCGGTGTGTGCTGGTGCAGATGCAGAGAGCCAGCAGCAGCACCGTCGGACCAGCAGAGGGGTCGGCACCTTCATTGGAGGGGAGGGGACGAAGCGAGAAGTTAGTGGCCTTGTACCAGCAACTGCCAACTGCAGTCGAGTACCGAGCACCTCGTGAGTCGGACATGCAACAAGACATTGTCCGAGCGTACGATGGTGTAGCGCGATACAGTACCGCACTAAGTCATGGGCACCACCGTAGTGTGTGCTCTTTTATTCGGGGCTATTTTCGGAGTACTTTCTGCGTCACTTAGCAAGACCCTGCGTTACCAAGCTCCAGACGAGTGCAAGTGGGTCGTAGTGGATAGTGGTTCCGAAGATGACGTCGCTCTCGTGTGCAGACTTCGGACCATCAACAGCGAGCTGGAGAACACCAACTTTAGTGTGATACAACCCCAACATACCGTGCGGCTGAGGCTAGAATGTAGTGACGCGCTTTTCTTCCAGAGTTCGTTGAGTGCAGGAAGTTTCAAACCACTAGTCGAACTCCGCGAGTTGTCGATCGAATATTGCAAAATCGGCAATCTGTCGGATGGCGCGTTCCGAGGACTCAAAGACCTTCGTAATTTAACTATACGGACTCACAATACGGATTGGTCAGCAATGACCCTGGATGTGTCTCCCAACGCGTTTACCGATGAACTCCGTCAGCTAGTGCGATTGGATCTCAGTGAAAATAACATGTGGAGTTTGCCCGAAGGAGTTTTGTGTCCACTTTACGCGTTGGAAGTTCTCAATCTGACCAGAAACCGATTACGTGAAGTGGCTAGTTTTCGTTTCACTTCTGCAGAAAGATGTGGCAGCAATTTGAAAATTCTGGATTTATCCCGTAATAGTATAGATCGACTATCTTCCGGACAGTTTTCCAGTCTATCTCATCTCCAGAAACTATATATGCAAGGCAACGGTTTATCACACCTGGCAGATCGTGCTCTTGAAGGATTGACTTCCCTTCGTATTCTCAAACTTTCCGATAATCATCTGGTCAGTCTACCACCTGAATTGTTTACCGATACGAAAGATGTTCAGGAGATGTATCTCCAAAATAATTCAATAAACGTACTGGCACCTGGATTATTCAGCGAGCTCACCCAAGTTCTTGTCCTGGATTTATCTCACAATGAACTGACTGCTGATTGGATAAATACTGCAACCTTTGCAGGCCTAGTTAGACTAGTTGTTCTTGATATTTCTTTCAACAGGATATCTAAACTGGAGCAGTCAGTATTCAGAGACTTATACAGTTTACAAATCCTCAGAATTAATGACAACTTCATCGAGCATATACCAGACAGCACATTTTCAGCTCTCTACAACCTACACACGCTTATCATATCGAATAACAAATTAACTAGAATAGAAAGTGACACATTCAATGGGTTGAACGTATTATCTCTTTTATCGATAGACAACAACAAGATTTCTTGGATCCACCCAGAGGCACTTAGAAACTGTTCTGGCTTGCAAGATTTACATTTGAATGGTAATAAACTAGTTGCGGTTCCTGAAGTAATTAGTAATGTTCCATTACTGAAAACACTCGATCTCGGAGAGAATCATATCGATACAATAACGAATGAAACATTCGAAGATTTGAAACTAATGTATGGTTTGAGATTGACCGAAAACAATATCGGAAACATAACAAAAGGCGCATTCGATAAAATGTCGGCTCTGAAGATCCTCAACCTGTCAAGGAATAAAATACAAAAGGTAGCGCCGGGTTCTTTTGACAACAACCTGAACCTACAAGCTATCCGTCTAGATGGGAACTACCTGACTGACATTGAAGAATTATTCGCTAAATTACCCAGTCTAGTGTGGCTGAACATATCCGACAATCATCTCAAGTGGATTGATTATGCCCTGATACCTACTGGTTTACAATGGCTAGACATTCACTCGAATCAAATCGAGGAACTCGGTAATTACTTCGGAATCGAATCGACTCTCTCTCTCACTACTTTCGATGCCAGTGCGAATAAACTGACTGAAATCACCGGCAGTGCCATTCCCAATAGTGTGGAAGTGTTATTCCTGAACGATAACCTGATTTCCAAAGTACAATCGTACACGTTTTTCAAAAAGACGAACCTAACAAGAGTGGACTTATTTGGAAACAAAATAACAAGTTTGGATCCGAATGCTCTACGAATATCAGCTGTGCCGCCAGAAAAGGAACTTCCAGAGTTCTACATCGGAGGTAACCCATATCAATGTGATTGTACCATGGAATGGTTACAGAAAGTCAATGTTGGAAATCGAGCTCGAACACAACCAAAACTAGTGGACTTAGATAGTATCTACTGTCAGTTATTGTATAACAGAGGTACTACCTATGTTCCTCTGGTGGAAGCTGCTCCGTATCAGTTCCTGTGCACGTACGAAACTCATTGTTTTGCCCTTTGTCACTGCTGCGACTTCGACGCTTGTGACTGCGAGATGACCTGCCCCACAAATTGCACCTGTTACCACGACCAATCGTGGTCTGCCAATGTTGTGGACTGTTCTTCCAGCGGATATATAACCAAACTTCCGGAGCAGATACCAATGGACGCCACTCAACTCTATCTGGACGGAAATGATCTGCGGTCGTTGAATAGTCACGCATTCATCGGTCGAAAGCGGCTCAAGGTACTTTACCTGAACAACTCTAATATAGAGACCATACAAAATAGGACTTTCAATGGTTTGAAAGAGCTGGAAGTCTTACATTTGGGTGGAAATCGTATCGGCGAGTTGTACGGTTACGAGTTCGAGAGTCTGGAATTTCTCATAGAAATCTTTCTCCAATCGAATCGAATAACGAGTATCAATAATGGTACATTTTCTCACCTAAAGAAGTTACGTGTTTTGAGGCTAGACCATAATAGACTGAATATCTATAATATGTGGAATCTTCCGAATACTTTGATCGAGGTAACGTTATCGTATAATCCGTGGTCATGTGACTGTGACTTCACGGAACGACTTCGTGAGTGGATGAAACGCGGCGACGCGGTCCAAGACTCTTCGTCGGTGAAATGCATCTTGAACTCAACCGATATCGATTTTTACAGCCTGGACGCGTACTTAGACAATACCGATACCGGTTTCTACGTGATGCAAGAGAACGGTTCTTGTACGGGTGTCGCCAACATAGACAACAGCGTAAACGGAAACCTGACATCGACGAAGACCATCATTCAGCGACAAGTTATCCAAGACTACTTGCCTCTACTTGTGATCACTCTAGCTATATTTTCCGCCATCATATTGATCATGCTGTTGATTTTCATTTACAGACAAGAAGTTCGCGTCTGGTTTCATTCGAAATTCGGGGTTCGCATGTTTCAGAGGTCCAGCGACTTGGACAGGGACGACAGAGAAAAATTATTCGACGCGTTCGTGAGTTACAGTTCGAAAGACGAAGCGTGGGTCGCTGAAGTCTTGGCCCCCGCATTGGAGCCCAATTATAAGTTGTGTTTACACTACAGAGACTTTCCCGTGGGTGCTTTTCTTGCCGATACCATAGTGCAAGCCATCGAGTCATCGAAAAGGACTATCATGATTCTATCAGAGAACTTTATCAAGTCCGAGTGGTGTCGTTTCGAGTTCAAATCGGCGCATCATCAGGTGTTACGCGACCGACGGAGGAGACTTATCGTGATCCTCCTCGGAGAAGTTCCTCATAAAGACTTAGATCCAGATATTCGCTTATATCTGAAAACTAACGTGTATTTACAGTGGGGTGATAAATTATTCTGGGAGAAACTCAGGTATGCACTACCTGACGTTCCTAACAATCAGAGGCATCCAGGTTCGATGAGGACTCCGCATGTTCATCACCATGTGCATAGACATAGTGCGAGGAGCCAAGCTCCGAATCCTCCAGGAGGTGGCAACAACTCTTCAAGAACGGTGGCCATCCACATTTGACGATGACTGTTAGTGAAACTAGCAATGTCAGCATTATTGTGATAAATCGTAATGATATAGACTGTGCATGAGTGCAATGTGAGGATGTGATGTGATATAGGTAGCCTGCAAGTTCGGGAAATTTATTGTATGAATGAGTGCACGACATTTTCTGTTCGAATGATGTCAAGTGATAGCCCGAACCGTCCATTACTCCTGATTGGTAAGGAGTCTAACTTTTTGATTGTAAATATATATACCTGTATATATAATAAGTATGAAGAATGTACTTGTAAATTTTGTATATATTATATATAATTCTATAGCGATCGTATTTATTTTTGTAGGACAATATTTTTTTCACGCGAATTTGAGAGGAACCCGTTTTTGTATGAACCATTTTTCAAATACTTATCAAAGTGATACTCTGTCATCTGAATATCAATAAATTCCGACTGAAAATGTTTATTGTCGTTTCATTTTCATATCAACATTAATATACCTATTTACACATCATTTTGGACGGTTTCACTATTTTGTATGTCTTTCAATAAATATCTTGTTTTCTTGATTCTACTTCACTATCTCCAGAAATAATATGTCAAAAATAATGAGGATATTCAACAATAATGATTGATATAGTGAAAAATGAGTTGAAAAATAAGCTGAGTATATGCAGGGGTTTTTCAGCATCATCCTGAAGACCCACCCACAATGATACTTTTATGTAAAAAAATATAATCCTGACGATATCTATAGAACCCATTCAAATTCAACTAGCTGTTATGGTTTAAGCAACAAATGATGTAATACTCATCTAAATGAATGAAAAAGTAATTTTCACGAAACCTATACCAGCCGACCGAGCAGCCGACCATCATATATTCCCAACTTTATTAATAAAAATGCTAATAACCAACCATAGGTACCGTAAATTCAGTTACTAGACAGATTTTATTAATAGTTTTTTGAAATACTATGGATACTACTGTAATATATGTACGTATCAAATATTTCTGTCAAAAGAGAATTCTTTATAGGTTATAAATATATCGTAAAATTACAGAACTGCGATGGAAAACCATAAAATATGATTAATTGAAAAGTTGAACTGATAGGCATTCGTTGTTTGAAAAGATCCACTAGAGATACATCTTGACTTGGATTTCTCTATCACAAAAATGCTTACTATGATTTTTCGATATTTTTGCATTCACCATTGACTTTTTATTATTTATTAACTGAACTGAAACTCGAACTGAAATAGTTATTTTTGTATCTAGAGCGCGAAATGCTACTTTGGTGATCGAGATCTAATTTTTTAACGAGGCGTAGCCGAGTTAAAAAAATAGTCGAGATGACCGAAGTATTTCGCGCTCGAGTTGCAAACAACATTTTTCTACAATCGTCAAAAAATATAGTTCTGGAGTAAAAATTTGCTTAGCTTGATATAAAGAATAGTCTTGAACTGGCTTGAAAGGTCTCCCCCCTCGTCTCCCCCTATCCTCTTTAGGTACGCACGATGTTCCACCAACATAATAGGAATTTCCTTTCGTGCGCTCCAAGAGATAAAACAATTTTATTGTTGAACATTCAGAAATAAATTGTTTCGTGGATGTTTGCTCGATTGAGGACCATGAAGTTGAAATATAAGTATCTCATATATTATATACATAACAATGCGCGAAGTAGGTACTTCACGCACTGTTTTAGTTCGCGCATTGTTTTGTGCAAGGTATCATGGTAACGTAGGAAACTGAAAAAAAGTGTCACTTCGCAATTTGTTATCAATGCGCGAACCTCGTCATTTTTTGACGTTTATAGAAAGAAGCCTATTGGATATTGGATGTGAAATGCGGGGTGAAATGTAATTGCGTATTGATAACGTTTAGCTCTCTTTGATATTTGTAGAATGTGATTTGGTTCACGTTGACCCAAAAAAAAGCAATAATGCAACCATGCAACCCCAATATGTATGCAGTGTGTCAACCACTGCATGGTGTTTTATCTCTCGATCGATATTGAAAATCATTGTCTCCTCAGGTAAGTATTAATTGAAAAGGCTCATTCAATAAGTGGAAGACTTCAATTTTTGGCTGAAACGATGGACTAATACCTCGACTAATACGACCGTTTTATGGGCCCAAACTCGGGCCCAAATTTCAAAAAGTATCATTGAGGAAGTTTTCTTCACCAACCAAACTATGTTTTCATCGAGGTTTTCATTGGTTTTCTCAGTTATTTTCACTTGAAACACACTTGTACCTATTTTTATCATATAGGTGTTTGAGGAATAAATCACATAAATGTTTAGAATTATGCATGATTTATTTAACTATAGACGTATCTCATTGATGACTTATTCGCGCTTATTCGAATATCTGTATCGATTCTAATCATTTTGACCAATGTGGATTTTTTCTCAGATTTTGTACACCAATTCTCATTTATTTTCGAATTAGTAGTAGTTGTATACAGGGAAAAACAGGTCGATTTAATTTTCGAAAAATACACTTGAAATTATTAGTTTTTGCCTCGGTTTTTGCCCTGTTGGTTCAACCCCGTAGGAGTGGTAGATGATGACCCACAGAATCTCAAATGGGAAGAGAGGTCAAGTGGCACATCAGTTTGATGGAATTTCAATTCTCTTTCGAATTCCCGTTCCAACGGAACGCTATAGTCGAGCCTATAGTTTATCATTTTTTGTGGATCAGTATTCGAAAAATGTCGTGTCACTTAGAAAACTTTCTACCCTTAATATCTTCCTTCAAGTGAATGATATGAAAAATCGTCAATTTTATTTCTGAAAAAGACACTTGAAATGCATATTTTTAGCACTCTTAGTTCAACCCCCTAGGAGGGGAAGTTGTAACCCGAGTTGTAACCTTTAGAACCTCATATGGAAAAGGTGGTTAAGATATACATTATTTTGGTGCGTTTAAGTCTCTTTCGAGGTCTCTTTCCAACAATATCCTAGATTTTTTCTTTTTTGATGACTAATTTCCAAAAAATACCGTTCTGAACTCACAGAAGTAAAGATAACATGCCTGTACTGGTATGCATGGTTTTCAGGTTAGTATTAATGAGGTGACTCTCCTGTCAGTCCAAATGGTAGGAAGATTTTGGATGCACCTCAGTGCAGGCATGTTCCAATAACTTCTGTTAGTTTAGAACGACATTTTGCAGAAACTGCTCGTCATCAAAAAATTATTAAGTAGGTCATACTGTTGGACAGAGAATTGAGAGACCTTTAAAATAATGTGCATCTTGACCACCTTTTCATAAAATGTTCTAAGGGTAACATCTACCCGCATCTTCCCCTTCCTGGGAGGTTGAACCAGGAGGGTTGAAAATATGCATTTAGTGTCTCCCTTGATATTGATTTATCTTTCCGATTCTTCATATTATTTTCTGGAAGGGAGATATCTCGGGAGAAATTGAAGGTGGGAAGTTTTCTAATTGACACGGCATTTTTCAGAAACTGCTCATCAGAAAATGATTAACTAGGGTACCGTCGGAAAGATAATTGAATGCCGTTCAAAATGATGTAATACTTGACCACACTTCCCATTTGTGGTTCTAAGGGTAACATCTAACCCACCAAGAGGGTTGAAAATATTAATTTTGAGAGACCCCTTGTAAATAAAATTGACCTGTCTTCTCGATTTTTCATATTATTCACTTAAAAGAAGGTATTGAGGGTGGCAAGCTTTCAAAATGTCACCCTGTATGTACAGTCTGTCCATTTTTCGATGCTTTTGCGCGATATATCAGTTATATTTGGAGATAGAGTGTTGCAGTTTTCACATTACCGCCTTACTTTTTTGTGAAACGAATAATGGCGCAAACAGCATTTTGACAATCCCTCATGTTTTTGAGATACAGGGCAAAGTTGAAAATTCTCACCTTTCGAGCACCTCCCATATATCTTGGATACTTTTAAACTTATCGGCAGAATTATGGAACGGAAAAACTTTGTACGTATAACGAGACGTATATATAATGGAGCCAAAATATTTTTTACAAATGGAATACCCTGTATATTTCTATCCAGTTTGATTCAGAATTCATTCATATAAATCATCAGAATGATATGGAAGTTGTATTTTTTCATGTGATGAAAAAATTATTTTCGCAACATTTTCTAAAAATGAACGATTTCAGAAATACTGAGTACTACAGAGTATTATACCAGAGTATTATTCATACGTGGAAAGTTATGTAACGCCCCGTTAGTTAATAAGTAGGTGAGATACGGGAGTTGCTCAAAAATGAGAATTTTTTCGTCGTGTATCTCGATAACATAGAGGAATGTATGGAAATTCTCTTTGTGAGGCAGTAATGTGAAAATTCATACTTTTTGAACCCATTCTATATTTACGAAGTTTCTTCTTTCTACGAAAATGTCAAATTAAAATCTTATTCCATAGAGAGTTCGCAGAATCCAATGGCACACTCATTTTTTTCGAAGTACGGTTTTGCAGATACGACTCAAACGGACTCAAACTTATATGATTCTTCAAACGGAACACCCTGTATTTCATAAGCTCATCAAATTTCTTATTATCTCCCCGCCCTTTCTACAAAATCGAGAGTGATATTGAGAAAATTGCGAATTATTGTAATTTAACTAGTGGTATAGAAAATTTTGAGAGATATATCCAATACTTTCCGAAATAACTCAAAAAGTGAAAACGGTATTCCATAATCCACGACTCTAGTTATTTTGTCGATAAGATGAAATATCACTATAGCTTTATCAAAGGATATGCGTTTTCCTACAAAATCGAGAGTGAAATTGAGAAAATTGCGAATTATTGTAATTTAACTAGTGGTGTAGAAAATTTTGTGAGAAAAAGCATGAAAAAGTAACGTGAACACCCTGTGGCGCGTCACTAGTTGAAATGACCTAGGTTAGGTACTGTCTCGGGTATACTGTACCTATAGTCGAAAATATATTAAATTCATCGGAAAATAACTTGAAAAAATTAATGAAGATATCACATGCTAGGTGATAGGTGTGAGGGAGTTTTTTATTAAAAAACTGGCAAGTTTTGGTGGAGGCGCATTTAGCCATCAATATTTTGAGCTATTAAACTAGATGTCAAAGATGACGATATCAGTTCCTTAATATCAGTAGTCAATATTATTAAAAATAAAATCAAGTGTTGACGGTTTGAGTTGGACGTTATCTTGTTTATCGTGCATGTACCTCAAGGGAAAAATAGAAAGAGAAGGTGGGAATTTTTTCAACTTTTAAGGATCATAATTTCTTGAAAATACCGGAAAATACTTCTTTTGAATATTCCAGTTTTTATCTGACAAAC